GTGTGGTGTGGTGTGTGTGTGGTGTGTGTGGTGTGCGTGTGGTGTGTAGTGTGTGTGGTGTGTGTGTGGTGTGTATGGTGTGTGTGGTGTGTGTGTGGTGTGTAGTGTGTGTGGTGTGTGTGGTATGTGAGTGTGTGTGTGTGGTGGGTGTGGTGTGTAGTGTGTGTGTGTGGTATGTCATGTGTGTGGTGTGTGTGGTGTGTGTTTGTGGTGTGTGTGTGTGTGTGTGACCCGAGTCCTGGGGGTGGAGAGGATTGGCAGGTTCTGGCATCGTGGGGAGGGTGGGGCTGGCAGGGCCAGCAGTCTGGCCGTGTCCCCTCCCCCTGGCTGGAGGGAGGGGCGGTGGCTCCCCGCCCCGGGTGGGGGCTTGCTGGGCGGTGGGTGAGCAGAGCCGGGTGGGTGGAGACAGGCAGCCTTTCTCTTCCCGGTTCCCAGGGGTGGGCGGTGGCCACGGCAGCCAGAGGACGTGGGGAGCCCCACCTGCGTCCGGATTCACTGGGCCGAGGCTGAGGCCAGGGCGTGTGCTCCCAGACCCAAGGCCCCTGTGGGCGTGGAGGAGCGACCGGAGGCTAAAGTAGGTCTCACCACCGCCCCCGCCCTCGGGCCCCACCCAGCCCTGGCTCTGGGCCCGCAGCTGCCAGAATGGTGACTCACAGAGCTGCTGAGCCAAGGAGAGAAACAGGGTGCAGGGTGGGGCCCCCTTCGTCCTTGGCCTTCCTAGCATCCGCATGGTGCCCAGGACCCCTGAGGCCGCATCTCAGACGGGGGGCACGGGCTGTATCCCTCCTCCTCCCCCTCCCCTTGCCTCCAACCAGTGGGATTTTTTTCTCAGCACCGCACTAGGGCAGGAAGGCGGAAATGAGTGTGGGGCGTGGAGTGTCTCTGAGGTTGAAATATATTTAGGCCAGGATGAGAGTGTGTATGTGGTTCAGAGCGGGCCCTGGCGCCAGCCCAGCGGGCTTGAAGAGCGAGGTGGGGGCCCTGAGCCAGTGCAGGGAGGTCCCTGCCTTCCCCCTCTTAAAGTGGGCCCAGGGAGCTGGACACAGAGTGGGAAGAACCAGGGGAGGCTCTGGAAGTGGAGGCACGCCCTGCACAGCGCCGGATGCACTTACAGCTGAAAACCCGATGCCCAGAGAGGTTAAGCGGCTTTCCCGAGGTGGCTCAGGAAAGAAGCAAAAGCACAGGGCTCGTGTGCTGGACCAGCTGGCTGCAAAGCGCCGACCTGTTGTTGCCCTATTCGTGCATGCATTCGGTCACTCAGGCAGCACCTCTGCACGGCCTCGCCTGTGCCAGGCCGGCGCGTGTGGTGCAGGAGGGGAAGAGGCGGACGGGACCGGAGTCTCCAAACCACAGCCGGCAGGCTACATCCGCCCATCCTCTCTGCACAGCCCTCGGGCTCAGAATGATTGTTACATTTTTAAACAGTTGAAAACAAAAGCAGAGCTTTCCGTGAAACGTGAAAATCGTGTGGTGTGAAATGACAATTTCAGGCTTCGTAAATGAAGTGTCCACATCACGCCTGTTTATGCCCATACTGTCTGTGGCTGCTCATGCCCTACGTGGCAGAGGGGGTTGTTCTGAACAGACCCACCAAGCCGCACGTATCTCCTATCTGGCTCTTTACAGAAGTTTGCTGGTCCCTGGACTGGACAGCTGCCCATCTTTGGGGAGCTGTCGGCCGAGAAGGGTGTGCTGGGGGGTGTGGCTTCTGGCTGGCCGTGACTGAGTGGCATGGTCTCAGTGGCCAGATGCAGGGCTGGACCGGGCTGTTGTGCGTTTCTTCCTGGTCCTTTCCCCAGGAGCTTGTCAAAGGGCTGGTCCTGTCCTGTCTGCTTCCTCTGCCGCTTTTTCTCGGCTCCCCCCATCCCACATTTGTAGTGTAAAAGGGAAGAATCGTTGCAAGACAGGCACATGCATCTCGGCACATGCTTGTGGGCGGATGCTGTCCCCATCCTGCAGGCTGGCCTCACCGTCTGGGCAGTTGTCTTGGGGCAACCCCAGCACCCCGTCCTTCTGACCCTTAGAGCTGGACTGTAAGGTTGGGACCTTTCCAGAAAACCCCTCGGGTCCCCAGAATTCAGGAAGAAGGAATCTATATCCCTCTTTCTATTTTGCTCGGCTCGCCTGACTGTGTACTCCCCGCCCCCAACCCCACTGTTGCATTTAAGCCTCTCCCCTTAGCCAGCCAGCTTCTTTGCCAGCAAAAACTGCAGTGTGCTGAGGCAAGGCTCGTCTAAACATTGATTCATCAATGCATTGATTCACTGATTCATTCCACACACATTTACTGAGTTCTGGGTGGATCAGTGACTGGGTGCAGAGCCAGCCTGCGATGGGACGTCTTTGCTGTATTGTTAAGTAAAAAGCAAGTCCTGATACCCCAAAGAATTGACAACAGGTGCTCAAATTCTTTTACAGGCATGCTCGTAGGAGCAATATTCCCAATGTCCAAAAGGTGGAAACAACACACATGTCCATCAATGATGAATGGATAAATGCACTGTGGGCCATCCATACAGTGGACTATTACTCAGCCATAAAAAGGAATGAAGCTCTGATTCATGCTACAACATGGATGAACCTCAAAAACATCATGCTCAACAAAAGAAGCCAGTCACAAAGGTCACATATTGTATGACTTCATTTATATGAAACGTCCAGAAGAGGCAAATCCAGAGGCAGAAAATAGCGGTTGCCAGAGGCTGGGAGCAGGCGGGACGGGGAGTGACTGCTTAATGCATAGGAAGTCTCCTTTTGGGGTGATGGAAATGTTCTGGAACCAGGTAGAGGTGATGGTTGCAAAACGTTGTGAAGGAACTCAATGCCAATGAATCGTATACTTTAAAATGGTTACTGGTTAATTTTGTGTTATGTGAATTTTACCTCAATTAAAAAGAAAGCAAGTCACCAAATTAAGTGTTGCATGCTTCTGCTCTGGCTTCGAATAAAAGGATTTACAAGGGTATGTGGTGGGGGCGGTGCAGGGCAGGAGGGAAGGGAAGGAGCCTGCCCGGTGTTAATCCTCTGCTCCCACCAGGTACTGGCCTTCCCGCCTCCGGGCCATGTCTGCACAAGTGGATGTGGCTCTGGGCTGCGGGGAGGGTGGCCGCTCATTGCCTGCCCACGGGAGACGCTCAGAAGCAGTGAACTCCCAGGATGGTGGTGAAAGCAGGGTCACAACATAGACCAGACGGCTATGGGTGGCTGCCTGGCAGGCGGGGGAGGCGCTGGTGACCACTTTGTGCATGAGCCCATTAGATCTTGACAGGGTGGCTGGGAGAGAGGCTGGTGGGTATCTATGGGATGGGTCATCCTACCCACTTGATTATGTTTTTTTATAATTTTTATTTATTTATTTTTTCCCCCCAAAGCCCCAGTAGATAGTTGTATGTCATAGCTGCACATCCTTCTAGTTGCTGTATGTGGGACGCGGCCTCAGTATGGCCTGACCAGCGGTGCGTCGGTGCACGCCCAGGATCCGAACCCGGGCCACCAGCAGCAGAGCACGTGCACTTAACCACTAAGCCACAGGGCCGGCCCCCTACTTGATTATTAAAATCCTCCTCTGCTAAGACACATACCCTTTGGCGAGTGTCTTGATCCATTCTGGCTGCTATAACAAAAATAACCATAGACCAGGTGGCTTATAAATAAGACATTTATTTCTCACAGTTCTGGAGGCTGGACATTCCAGATCAAGGCGCCGGCAGGTTGGTGTCTGGTGAGAGCCCTCTTCTGGCCATCTTCTGGCTGTGTCCTCACATGGTGGAAGGGGTCCCTTTTATTTTTTATTTTTTTTGCTGAGAAAGATTCGCCCTGAGCTAACATCTGTGCCAATCTTCCTCTATTTTGTACGTGGGTCACCACCATAGCATTGCCGCTGACGAGTGGCGTAGGTCCACGCCTGGGAACTGAACCCTGGGCTGCCGAAGCAGAGCACGCCAAACTTAACCACTAGGCCACCAGGCCTGCCCCACGGGGTCCCTTTTACAAGGGGACTGATCCCATTCATAAGGGCCCCACCCTCATAACCTCGTCACCTTCCAAAGGCCCCGCCTCCTAATACCATCACCTTGGGGATAGGATTTCAACTTATGAGTATTTTTTGGGGGGACACACACATTCAGACCACAGCAGGGAGCATTCACACGGGACACACTATCTTCACACTTTTGGCCCATTCAGAGAAGCCTGTCCACCTGCGTCTTCCCCAGACCTCCTTGTCACAATTTTCCAATCATCTTCTCTTCAAGTCCCTGGCCATCCAGCCAAACCACTGGCCACAGCCCACGAACCAGCATGTAATCGCCCATCCGGCCGTGTCTCCCTCCAAGTAAAGTGAACAACTGAGTACATTGCCCAAAGTTTTTCCCATGGGGGGGGTTCCCGTCACCCTGTCCTTCAGGGACGTCCCAGAGAGGGGCTGTGGCGCTGCGCTGCCTGCCCTCAGGTGGAGCCCGGAGGTAACGCAGGACCATCCGTCAACCACCCTGAATCTTCTCTTCCTTAGCTGATCGCAGGGGCTCCCCATGGAGCCACAGGTGCAGGACGGGAGACAGAAGGCACCACAGCGGGCCTCCGTGCCGTGGGACCTCCTGCTGATAGCAGTGTGGGTTTATAGCATCCCTATCATAATCACGCATTTTTAAAAACCCAGACAATCCTCTCAGACTCCCTGATATGGTGTTAGAAGGGGCAGATAAGGTGCAAGATGTGGTGTTGAAGCCACCACAGTGGGGGTACTGAGTGCAGCCTGTCGCCTGTTTCTGTAGGGCCTGCGAGTTAAGAATGGCCTTTTCATTCCATTTTCTTTTCTTTTTTTTTTTCTGAGGAAGACCAGCCCTGAGCTAACATCTGTTGCCAATCCTCCTCTTTTTGCTGAGGAAGACTGGCCCTGGGCTAACATCCGTGCCCATCTTCCTCTGCTTTATATGAGATGCCGCCACAGCATGGCCTGACAAGCGGTGCGTCAGTGTGCGCCCGGGATCCGAACCAGCGAACCCCGGGCCGCCGGAGCTGAGCATGCGCACTTAACCGCTTGCGCCACCAGGTGGGCCCCTCCATTTCATTTTCTTAATTTTTTTCCCCAGGGGCCCTCTCTCTCCTGTGGAAATAACCACATCATAAATTTCATGTTAGTCATTTTCTCTTCCTCATCGTTTTACCACATGTAGATCTAATGTTAGACATCAAATTGTTTAGATTCACCTGTGTTTTTGTAAACTATATCACAATTAAATTGAGTTTGATTATTGGAATATTTGGATCCATTTCCAGGATCTTATTTTGTTCCTTACCCACTTTTTAAAAAATTTTCTTATTTATTTATTCATTTTAATTGAGGTAACTGGTTTATAACATTATATAAATTTCAGGTTACATCATTATATTTCAGTTTCTGTGTAGATTACATCATATTCACCACCCAAAGACTAATTGCAATCCATCACCACACACGTGTGTGAACCACTCCTTTCTCCCTTCTCCCTCCCCTCCTCCCCTCTGGTAACCACCAATCCAATCTCTGTCTCTATGTGTTTGTTTGTTGTTTTTGTCTTCTATTTATGAGTGAGATCATACGGTATTTGATTTTCTCCCTCTGACATATTTCGCTTAGCATAATACCCTCAAGGTCCATCCATGTTGTCACAAATGGCCAGGTTCCATCCTTTTTTATGGCTCAGTAGTATTCCATTGTGTATATATACCACATCTTCTTTATCCATTCATCCCTTGATGGGCACCTAGGTTGCTTCCAAGTCTTGGCTATTGTGAATAACGCTGCAATGAACCCAGGGGTGCATGTATCTTTACACATTTGTGTTTTCATGTTCTTTGGATAAATACCCAGCAGTGGAATAGCTGGATCGTATGGTAGTTCTATCCTTAATTTCTTGAGGACTCTCCATACTGTTTTCCATAGTGGCTGCACCAGTTTGCACTCCCACCAGCAGCGTATGAGAGTTCCCTTCTCTCCACATCCTCTCCAACACTTGTTATTTCTTGTCTTGTTAATTATAGCCAAAGAATGGCCTTTTCATTTTAAATGGTTGAAAAACAATCCAAAAAATTTCACGACACGAAAATTATATGCAATTCAAATTTCAGTGTCTAGGGAGGTGGGGGAACAGGATAGATGTTGTTTAAGGGTACAAACTTGCCACAAGTAGTAAATAAGCCCCAGGGATCTACTGCAGAGTATAGTGAATATAGACAACAGTATTGTATTATAATCATCAAACTTGCTAAGAGACCAGAACTTAATTATTCCAACTAGTAAAAAGAAAGGATGATAACGTGACTCGATAGAGGTGTTACTTCTCGTTACGATGGCAATCATACTACAATATATAAATGTGTCAAATGAACATGTTAGACACCTTAAATTTACACAATGTTGTATGTCAAGTATATTTCAATTAAAAGAAATTTCCCTGTCCATAAAGTTTTATCGACACACAGCTGTGCTACAAGGCAGAGTCGAGTCATCAGGACAGGGACCACCTGGCCCTCGAAGCAGAAAACATTTCCTGCCTGGCCCTTTCGAGAAGAAGTTTGCAGAAGGCTGCTCTGAAGGGCCTGGGTTCTGAAGGACTCAGGGCTCCCCGCGGCGTCTCCTCACTGGGACAGCAAAGTGGGGTGGATTGGGAGTGAGAGTGCAGTGGCCCGGACAGGCTGAGGACTGATAACTGACCCTGGGGAGGGGAGGGGGGGGGTGGCGGCCGGGAGGAGGGGC